CGCGGTGCCCGAGGAAAGCCGCACCCATGGCCAGCGACCTGGTGGAAGACGAACTGGAATTCTACTCCAAAGCGGAGAAATGAAATGAGGTGGAAACTTAAGATATATGGCGATGTCTGGCAGCTATCCCAGAAGCCTGCTGAGCAGGAGGAGATGGGAAATCACGCCACGCCCCGGTTCAGCTGGGCGAGACTTCTGAGTTCCTCTTTCCTCCCAGCTGAAAGATTTGGTCTTCCAGAAAGAAGTCCATTCTCTGGAGCCGACCCCAAAGGCCATGCCACCTTCCCTATGGCGGTTACAGAGGGCTACTGTTTTCCTCTACCCTCCCCTTCTGACTCTCCTCGCGTGTCGTTAACGTTCCAGGCTGTAAAAACTGTTTTTCATGGATTAGCAAGCCCTTCAGCCAGTAAAGTAGAAATACCTTAAATAAATCATACGCTGCTTAATAACCATGGATTGATCTGTCCTCCGAGGAATTTTAGTCTGCTTTTAAAGCCATTAGGGCTAGATGCAATTAAGCAAAGCACTCCAAATCACATTTCGCCCTTCTAATCTAGCTCTCTGGACAGCCCTATTAGGGAATATGGGGGGGGTCTTTTTGTGGGGGGGAGGAAGCTGGGGCTTATGGGAGTTTGCACTCCAGCCCTCTGAACTGAGTACAAAGTGGGAAAGTGTAGAAGGCAGGCCATGTTGTAATCGCCAAAATATGCATGACCAAGGAGGATGGGCCTTGGGACTAAATATATATATTGCTTACAAGGAATGCCATTCCGTGCCCAATTATGGAAACGTGCGCAATGGCACAACCCGGTGTGCAAACATCCTCTCCCCGCAAGCCAGTAATTAATTACCAGTCATGCAGATCAAGAGTTAACCAGCCAGGTGAGAAGCCCGCACCTCAAACACTAAACCAGGGTTTTAACCATGGTTTGTCAAGCACCCTGGTTTGTACCCCGAGCCAAGCCACAATGGCTGGGTCCGTGTCTCCCACAGCGTCGGGTTTGTTAACTAAACCTTGTTGCCCGGGTTCTTAAGCACAATTGGCACGATGGGTGAATCTGGCCAGGTTAATGCTGGTCACTATGTCCTGGCTTGTTCTGAAGTGGTTCCTCTCTCCCTAAGCCTGTTTCTTGAGCATTGTATGGTTGTGTGAATAATGGTTAACAAGCCTGGAGATGCTAAACTCCTCAGGGCAAGGCTTGGCAGCTTCTCCCACGCTGTAATTATTTAAAAGCTATGTTCACACCACAACTAAGCTCTGGTTTCTTTAACCAGGGTTGACGCACCACAACAAGTATGTTCACACAATGGGTAAACTACAGCTAAACAAATGTAATGATTTAACAGGATGTGTAAATCAGCCATTTGCTGCAGGCCCAGGGAATTAGAGAAGGCCTATGTGCCTTAGTCCAACCATGGTTAGACATAGCCCTGGTTTGCTTCGACTCCTAACCCAGCAGTTGCTCTTTCTTCTCCAACACAGAGCGAATCATTGTCATGCTGAAGGCTAACTACCTCTTAGTACTAGGCCTATTGTTTGTTCAGACAAACCATGATTTAAGATCCAGGCCTAGCACTGTACACAGCTGAAACGTCCACCAATATTAATGCTCACAGTGGCTTCCTTCAGCACTGGAATTTGAGAACCGGGCCTGGATTTACCCACAGGGCAAAGCCTTAACATGGCTTGCTTTGTTCTGGTGCACGGGAACCCATTTGCAAACCCTGGTTTACGGCTCAGCTGACGTTTGCAGCCGCGGTTGTGTCAGTCCTGAATCAGGGCCAAGCCGTGGGATGGTTAAAGCACGTTTCCTAGATCCAAGGCTGTTCCCAGGCCTGCAATTTGGACAACCCCATTGAAGTGGGTTCTGGAACGCTCCCCACACCCGTGAGGAACCTCCCCCTCCAGAAAACTAACAAACCACTTTCTTTGGGAAAGGAACGCTAGAAAGGACATAGTCCCGAACCCAAAGTGAGAACATTGGTCTCAGGCCCAGAAACTCATCAAGCGAGCCGCTCCAGAAACAAAACGGCAGAACTATTATGAGCACTGAGGACTAGAAACTTGGACTAGCCGCATACAGGCTATTTCTTCTTTTGTAAAACCGGTTCTTGCTCCCACTGAGCATGGGGACAAGCTCGGAGTTGGTTTAGGGTGAAAATAAACAGTTCAGCGAAGGCACAGAGCAATGGGGCTGAAACCCCCTTAAGCCCGGAGGCTGGATTACTTACATTTTATAGAGAAATATTATGATGCTTATTTGTTTATAACTTCTCATAATAGTCATCCCATCTTAATGTTTGTGTCTTGGGCACAAGAGTCCTGTGTTCAAATCCCAACTCCACCGGGAAATAGTGGCGGTCGTTCCGTCCACCAAACAACAGACTAAGGCAGTGATCTTTTTGGGAAAAAATAATAATCTAGGATTGTATATCCAAAGTCAGGGATCGCCCCCAGTTCCACAGTGGTGGCTGAGTACCCCGGGGGAGAAAATACACACTCTGCCCATGCTCAGGAACACTTGCTCCTCGTTCTTATGGGTTCACGCTGGAAAGAACCGCGCAGCTGCTTGGCCTCCGCCGCTGTAGGCGCCCAAGGGGCTTAAAAAGCAGCCTAGTCAGTAAGGCTGGGATTGCTCCGGCCGCAGCAGGGGAAAATGGGGCTGCGTAGCGGTGGGTCGGCCCCGAGGCGGGGGACCGGCCTGCTCATGCGCTGCCTGCGGTACGGACCCCGCCCGCCCGTCAGGATGAAGCGTAACGCAGTTCTGGGGCTGCGCCCCCGGGCTGGGTCCCCCCGGATTGAGGATT